AAATATCATATACATTATATAAAGTTAATACGCTAATAACTTATTTCTTATTCAGCTAACAAAACAATGCTTTAATTTACCTTTTTTGGTTGTGACTTCTTCACCCCCTTAACTTACCTTTCTAGCACATGCAAGTAGCCATTTGCATGAGAGACACTTTTCAACAATAAAGATTTATTAATTAAGGCATTAATTATTTGTATTATTTTTATATTTTTTTCCTACTAATTAATAAGTGACAACTTTTCTTTTTCTTGATCACTAACTATACTATAGCTAGATAGATGATAAATATTGAACGGTCACGTAAACTTGTTTGTCCCATAAAATTTCTCTTACATGACATAAAAGTTTAAATATTCTTTAAAAATTAATTAAAATTTTCATTAATTTGTCTATACTCGTATGCTTTTGTACCCAAAAAAAAAGGAGATGATATATCTAATATCACGATTTCTAAGATTAATCTTAATATACATCTTAAGTCTTTTGCAAAAGAGTGGCACATCTCTCTTATGCGATGGATGATCTTTTTATATGACTCGGACAATCTTAATGAGCTTTTAAAGTTAGTTTTTAAGGTTTGCGAGTTAGGCCCAGCGTGTAAGGGGTTGGCTATAAGATAGTTTTGATTAAAGATTGAAGGACAGGACCCTAGATAAGAGATTGAAGGACGTGGATTAGAATAGAAGGTTAGTAGATAGTTGAGTATAGTCTTGCTTTATCCTTCAATAGTAGTAGTTGTAGTATTAATGAGTGTTATATGTTCTTGTTACTTATTCAGTTTCTATTACATATTTATTGTTACTTGTAATTCGATTATCTTATTATTTTATTGTTACGGTTCTTTTTTCAGTATATTTTGTCAAGCTTGATTTAATATTTTGTCTTGATTTCTTCACTATTGTTTTTGAGCAGAAGGGACTATCGAATACAATCTCTCTATCTCCTAATTAAATAGAGATAAAATACACTCATAAACTCGATTACTTATGGAGCTTATACTAAGTATGTTATTGTTGTACGTCAAGTCAAACTTGACTATCGTGTCAAGTTAGAAAAAGATTGATCGAAGATATATCAACTTTATTGTATCCTTTTGGCTTAAAGAATCTATACAAGAAGTAGTTTGATAAACTTCACCTATATAATGGAGTCATTAATCAAGAACTCATCAAACTTTCTCATAACTTGTCTTTTTCTAGAAAATAAGAAAGGGCAAACAAAAAAGAGGATATATGTGATGATCTAAAAGATAATCTAACTAGTGGTTCTGATTTTATAATGCCTTCAATATTGTTATAATTTTTGTTGCTTATAGGGGGTTCAATTGACCTAAAATAGTTGATGTTCTAGCATGATTTGACTTTTATAGCTAGCCCTTATTTCCACATCAATGGTTACAATAAAAAGAAAAAAAGAAGTTATATTATATATATATATATATATATATATATATATATATATATATATATATTAATTATTCAACTTGAGGTGATAGAGGAAGAAGCAATTTCAATTGTACTACATAGAGCCTAGACGGATCGATTTATTCTATGTTCTTTTAAATTAAAATAGCTTTTAAATACTTTTAAAAAATTAAAAGGAAAATTATAAGAAAATAATCATAACAATTGAAAGTCATAAGTTATAAATTAGAATTTCTAACTTATGTCTTGAACTTATAAAAAATGTATAATCAAATATATACTTAATACTATAAAATCATTTAAGTGAGTTTAGATTTTAGAAGTTCAAGTTTTTTTAAATGTTGTAGTTTGTTAGGTATCCAATTATGAAAAATCACCTTCAATCGATAGGGTCAAGAGTTTGATCATCATAAGCACAATAAATCACACTGATCAATTAATGTTTTCCCATAGAAACTAAAGCAGATTGGGTTATAAATTAACCTAAAAGAAAATAGAGCCACTTGATGAATGATTATCATTCTTCGACAGACTAATGCATTTTCGCACTTTAATTATTGTTATTATTATATTTTTCGTCGATATAAAACTATTTCTCGACACACTAATGCATTTTCACACTTTAATTATTGTTATTATTATATTTTTCGTCAATATAAAACTCTCATAATTGGCGTTCGAAATGTTATATCTTACCATTCAATGCACCAAGACGTTTTTATATAGCATCATACTATATTAGTTTAAATTTGGTGCACCATTAATATATTATATTCTTACATCATCATATAACATCAGCCTGACGGTGTAAAAAGGATGATACATTGTCAATGCACAAAATTTGAGATAACACATCTCATATGGTAATTACTCGATCAGCTATGCTCTTTTTCACGTAAAGTCATTCAAGTTTGATTTTTAACTCAAAAATCACTCAATTATAAATTTTTTTCACATAAAGTCACTCATCTATATGAATTTTTCAATTATTTTTCATCAATATAAAATTCTCATAATTGACTCGAAATGTTATCTTACATGTTCAAGTACCAAAACATTTTTATATAGTATTTTACATTATATTTATTATAGTGCATCAATTTTTGTTCCAACAATGTTAAAGTATATAAAATTTAAAATACGGTCACATTATAGCTAACATTTAACCGCTATGTGCGCTAAAGGTGACTGTATTTAAACTTTAGAAAAGAGTAAATGTTCCTTTGAGAAAGGGAATTAGAGTAGAACAAGGTTCACTTGTTCTGGCCCAAAATCATGGCCCAACACTGATCTCACTTGCTTCTGGCCCATATCTTTTTTTTTTCTTTTATATCGTTTTTCTTTTTCATTTTTATCTTATGAAAATACTTTGTGAGTATAGTCTAAATTTCTTTTTCAATAAATTGAAAACTTTTGAGAAAATATTAGTAGATTACAAACTAAATTTTAAAGACGGTAAGACAAAACTCGATTATAGTAATAAATAAACAAATATAAAAACCAAAGTTGACATTATCCAAAGAAATGTAACTTTTAAGAATTATATTTACATAATTCTAAATGATAAGCTAAAAAAAAATAAAAGCCTCCCGCCAATAATTTCTAATATTTCCCACCAATATGAGAAAAGAAAACATTCAAATTTTGGAATGCCAGGTCATCAATCTTCGTCACTTTCATCACATCTCATCTCAGCCGTTGAATATACCTATCGACGGCCAATATTAATCGTCAACTTAGATCGAAGCTCCTTTAAATAGACCAAAGAGTTAACTTCATTTCTCCATCTTCATCTAAACACAGCAGCTTCCGATTACAATTCAGGTTCAAATCACTTGTTTCATCCACATTACTGTTAATTTTAGCTACTGTTTGTTGATTTTTTGTTTGTTAATTTTATTGTTTTAGCAGTGAATTGAAGATGTCAGGACGTGGAAAGGGAGGAAAAGGATTGGGAAAGGGAGGAGCAAAACGACACCGTAAGGTTCTCCGTGATAACATTCAAGGTATCACTAAGCCTGCAATTAGGCGTTTAGCTCGTAGAGGAGGAGTGAAGCGTATCAGTGGACTAATCTATGAGGAGACTCGTGGAGTTTTGAAGATCTTTTTGGAGAATGTGATTCGTGATTCTGTTACTTACACTGAGCATGCTAGGAGGAAGACGGTCACTGCTATGGATGTTGTGTATGCACTCAAGAGGCAAGGAAGGACTCTTTATGGATTAGGTGGTTAAAAGAATGTGGGTTGCTTTAACTGATTTAGTGTTTTTTTTTTCACTTGGTGTAATTATGTTTGTAGTTTTTAAAGTAATAGAGTTGCTTAATCAATGACATTGCACTATCGTCTTGTAATCGATTTCTCAAATTCTCTGTTTGGATCATATGTATGTTTTTTTTGAAGTAATCACTGAGATTGTGTATATAGAAACTTCAAAATTGAATCCTCCAATATGCAATAGTCTTAGTCCAATTAGATATATATATATATTGATTTATGTTCATTGGATATAAAAATGTAGGTGAATTTCTTGTGTTTTGATTAGTCATTGTTGAATCCCCTTCTAGAAGATGACTGCAAGGGCGGAGCTAGGTAAGGCTCAAGGGGTTCATCAGAACCACATTTGGTAAGTTCGTTTCAATTATTTTTTATGTTTATATAGTAGATGTTGAATTTCTTTCAACTTCTTTGTGTGTTTAGTTATTGATAATTTGAAACCCCCTAGTGGAAGTGTTGGCTCTCTCATTGCTGTAGTTGTAAGAAATGATAGGGTTGGTACCACTCTTGGCTCCTGTCAATGCACCTAGTTTGGTCACGGGAAGGTGTAGAGAGCTTCATAGTCGCGATTTGGAGAGGGTGATTGTTGAGAGATTTGGTGTTGATGGGGTGCTTTTGTGGGCATGACACTCAATGCAATTGATCTGGAGCTGCATCCCTTGAGACCTTCATGGCTTTGGCCTTTTGGATATAACTCACTTTAACCACTTCAAATCCAAACCTGACCGATGTGTTAGATTGTCAAAGGTCTGGCTTTAGATGTCTTGTTAATTTGCTTGTTGCGATGAACGAAAGAATGGTTCCCTTAATCGAAAAATGCACAATATATTCATAAACCAAATAGTAGTATATGTATTGATTCAAATCCTCAGAAATTTACACACACAAAGAGGTGTAACATAGTTTTGGGTTTAAATGACTACTACAGTAGAATTGTACATAAGATGAAAGCACTAGTGGGATATGGCTAATAGTCCTTGAGATTGCTTCTCATATTTGAAACCATTTGATTTAGAATCATCAGCACTCCACACAAATATTCCAACCAAATCTCCTTTACTTTTAAGCTTGCTACACGCGGTGAAGAATCCGTTTTCTGGAGATAATCCACCACTTCCATCAGTGCCGAAGCTAGCCAAGATCCTTCCTCCTTCATAATTTGATCTTTGAGTAGAAAAATAGTCCATGAATTGAGACACAGTGGTTCCCTTATCATACGCGTAAAACTGAAAGTTAACGTAGTCTATAACTTGACTGTAGCTTTTCCATAGTGTTTTGTAATGATTCTGAACTTCATCATCATCATATGGTGCTATGGAAGCAAATGAAATAACTCCATCGTTTTTCAGAGTTGTAATTAGCTTGCCTATGCACTCTGCAAAAGTGTTAGGATCAGCTTGGAAATGTTCATAATCGATATCAATTCCATCCAAATTGTATTGCTTAATGATATTTGTAAGAGAAGAAACAGCATTTGAAACCCAAGAATCAACTGAAGAAGGATTGAAATACGCGCTGCTTCCACCAACACTGTCCCCTCCTAAGCTCAATGCTACTTTAACATTAGAATGTTGGTTTTTTATCGCGGAAACAGCAGAAGGGTTGAGGTTATCTGAATCCCAAAAGACGTTGAATTGACCGTTGGTGGGAGATGGAGAAGATGAAGACATGGTATAGTCAATAGCAAAGGAAAGAATGAAGTGAAATTCGACCCCAGAGTAAATAGGAACATCACTAAACTTAACATTATTGAACTCTGCTCCAATGTATTCTCTGAAAATATTGGAATTTCCAGGTGCAGCAGCATAGATTGGTGAATGAAAAAGTAAGAATTGAATAACAAAAAATGAAACTAAAATCTTGGAGAGCTCCATGAAGTTGAGAAATATTTATGTGTTCAAATTTGCTTTGTGTTATGATAAAATGGATTGAAGATATGAAGTTTAAATAAAGGGTCCTTTAGTAGATTTTTGAATGTATGGTTAGTGTATTAGTCAAAGGATAAATTAGAAAGTGTTAGCTTTACTGTAACGTTTCAGCTGGTTGGTGAGTCATGAATGTGACAAACAACAAGTAGTACTATAACGACTCGTCCAATAATAAATTGACGATTTGATACGTTTCTTACGAATTAATTGATATGATAAATTAGAGTATACTAAAAGTTTGAAATAAAACGTATACTATATGAAATATTATATTTGTCTTATTTAACTTGAGATTATTTTATACATCTTTGAAGTGAGGATAATAAGTGTAAATTCAGAATCAAGTAATAAATTATTTTTAAAATTATTAAATTTAATATTAATTTAGTAGCGTGGACATGTAAAAATGAAAGGAAAATATATATATATATATATATATATATATATATATATATATATATATATATATATGCGCGGAAGATTCACGCCAATGACTCCTAAAATGTTATCTTTTATCAATGATTAGGTATTTCATATAATATTTTACTCCCTCATTTTTTGAGGTATAACATACTTTTTTTTTTTTAAACAAAATTTTCATTAATTCTGGTAAGTAAATACACTAAAATAATATAGTAAAAGAAATATTATATTATAAAATGAAATTTGAAGTACATTCATTGTCTTCAAAATTACCATGTTATAATATAACTATCCTACTGCAGGAATATTTTGTACACCATCACCACCTGGGACATCGACATATTTTAAAGAATTAAGCAATATTTTTATAATAGCAATTGTCTTTAATGAGATTAATAATTTCATTTAACCAACAAAAAAATATGGAAAAGGAATAAACCACAAAGTGAGCAATATGGGTTGTGGTGTAATGGTCGGAGTACTTCTTTCAAATTTGAGTTCTAGAAATAGAGAAAATTCTGTTGGGATCTGAATGGGCCTGTAGTGGGCGATCCAATTTTAGTTCGAGTTTCAATGTGAACTCCGAACACAGAAAGTGAAAAACAAAGATACGAATATAAATTTAATCAAAATTCTAATACGAACATAAATATTCAATAATTTTTTTATTTTCCCCCAAAATTCCATCATTAAATAATTTACAGTCCCTTATCCAACTGCAGGCATATTTGTAACAAATCCATTACCACCTGGTCTATCAACAAGAATCCAAACTCTGTTACAACAATTATCTGTAATAGGGACTTGTTTATAAATAACCACAGGAGTGACAAAAGGGTTAGCCTTTTTCACTTGTGCCACAGCATATTTCTCATGTGTAACTATTCAAAAAATAAAAAATAAAATTATTAGAAAAATATTAATCGCGATAATTAAAATTATACAATATAATTAGGTATTAATACGTACATGTTAATTCGGGAAATTCCAGTTTTGCCCATAGAGGAAACATCCCAGTACCAGCACATTGATTGCCAACACAATTACAAGTATAACATGGAGGATAAGCAGGGAGACTTTGCACAACATAAATTATACAAAGAAATGTTATAACATATGATATTTTTTTGAACATTTTTTTTTTACCTAATTTGATGTATTTTTGTGGTGAGTTTTTAAATCTTTCTTTATAGTGTAGAAATGAACAACTCAGCAATTTATTATATTGATTTTATTTCTATTAAAAGCTAAAGTTTAATATTCTTATGTCCATTTTTGTTTGTAATCTCACCATATTAGAAAAGGAAAACTATATTAAACTTTAAAATCGGTATATTGAGTAATCATTGTATATATTTTATAATAGTATGGATCATACAATTTTGAATTTTTTTTAATCCACGAAATATTGAATAAACTTCACAGTAATTATTGAAGTTAAAAAATGTGACAATTTTAATGTAAGTCTAATTTATCGGGATACAAAATGTGAAATATATATTATTGTAATTATGTGTATACTGTAATATATGCGTAATTTAATATTACATATGTTATATAAAATTTTATGGTTAATTTATTGGATACTTACTGGAAAATGATGAATAGTAACAGCATTTATGTGTGTATTACTATTATGTAAACATATTAATTAATGATACACATAATAGAATATTATTATTATATGTAAGTGTATAACTATTATTTATATCATATTAATGAAATACATAAATAGTGTAGTAATTGTGAGTATTTTGATTATATACATTAAATATAATAAGAATAAATAAAATTATTTGAACATGCATATTATGAAGTATATAATAATATTGTATTATATCAAAGTAATAGATTGTACTTATATTATTTTTATTTTTATAGAAATAGTTTATATCCAATTTATTTTGGGCCAGCCATCAGTAATTTTTAAGAAAAAATATTTTCTTTCTAAATGAAATATCCAATCAAATACATTCAGGAGGGATATATAATATCATATAAAAGTAATTGACTTCTATATTTATAGAGAACATAAATAGTTAAAACAGACACTTTTTTAGAAAATGTTGAGTTCTTTTTACCAAACATTTGAACCGCTTGTGATTCCTTTTCCATTAAATAATTAGTCTCTTAATATTTTTTCAAACTATATAATAAAAACACATATTTGTATGTGCTTGTTATGGATATTCATGTGTCAGTGTGTGTGTGATTTGGAAAGTAGCACAGAGAATGTCACAAGAGTTTGGATTGGGCAGGGCACACATCTATATTATTGCTTCTTCTATATATATATATATATATACATACATTTTTTCTAATAATTCCATGAATTGTGGATCTGGAAATGGATATGGACAGTGACTTTTTATTTATTTATTTTGGAATCAACATTGAAGCTCCGATTTGGAGATAACACTTTCAACATGATCAGAACTTAAATTGAATATCTTTAATTAAAGATGAAATACTCCTGCTAATCCACCATAACAAATGTCGTGTGACTCGACTGAATTCTCTTTAGGATATTCAAATCATATAATATTGGCTGAATTCTCTTTAGGATATTCAAAATCCTAAAATATCGAATACCTCTAGTTTGACTTGACAACAAACTAGCATGTGAAGTCTACCATTTGACATTTTAATCTTCAAAATAATAAGAACGAGAGAAAAAATCGACAAATGTCATATAATATTGGCTGAATTCTCTCTTTAAGAATCAATAAATCATGTCATAGAATCGACAAATAATTTTTCTTTAGGAGTTAGTGAATTTCTTAAAAAATGTGTTCAAGCTAAAAGTATTATGTAATATTGTTAAAGTAAAAAGTTTCGTAATATTAATTAATGAGATGAATGAACTCCTTATAAGACTTGATAATTCTCCTTCCTTTGAGTTAACTTTTAGAGTGTGAGATAGGCCTAAAATCTAATTTAACTTGGTATTAAAACATAACTCATCTCACTCAATGTCGGGGCCCAAAAAGATAAAGAATTGTTCAAAATTGTCTCCGCAGCAGATGCTAAACATTGAATGTGAGGTGAAGCGTTAAAAGAAAAAGTCTCACACCTTATAAGGCTTAAACAATACTCTTTCCTTTGAGCTATTTTATGAGGTATGAGTTAGACCTAAGCTCTAATTTAATAAATATAAATCAGAATAAACAATAATATTATGTTATCTTTATTTGTTTTAAAAGACAAGATATCTTATTTTCACGATTGAATTTAGAGGATAATGAGGTGGTTTACTATATATATTGGAAATGACCAAATGTGAGCTAGATATATGATAGTAGGTAGAGAAGAATCAAAATCCTCACAAATTTAAGAGTACTGACGAAGTGTTGGGTCCTTTAATTAATTTCTATAGATGGAAATAAAGAGGAAAGTTAAAGCCTACGCTGCATGGAGATATTGAGTATCCCTCAAGTAACACTAGTAGTATTAGTTTATTATATAGTCATAAAAAAAAGGTAAAACGATCAAATGGAGTACCTTTAGCTTGAGTTTCTCTTTATTTATTCTTTTTCTAATATGATAATGTGTAAAAAAATACTTTAATTTTATAATCTTAAATATATAATGTAAATTTTTTTAAATATTAGAGATTTATGATAATGTGAATATTATATTTATGTTTTTGTTAACAGAAAGCTGTTGCAACTTATGTTGTTTACTTGTAACGTGCGCACTATGAATTATGTAAAACATATACGATAGAATTTGTTACACTTATTTATCGATTTTTTTAATTTAATTTGTTTGGTTGATTTTTCTTTATTTTAGTTCTTCTAAGAAATGTTTTTATTTTTTTCATACTTGTTTTATTTTAATTTTTCACTTGATCCATTTAATTACAAAATTAAATATGGTGGCTTATTGACTCTAAATATAGCTACTGCCTAATATACTCTAGTATTTTACGGGAGGAGTAAGAAAATACTTAACTATTGAGTATTGATTAGTAATTAATTTGTATTAATATCAAATCAAAGGTGGCATACTATTAATGTCATTTATTTATATATTATCAAACATAAATTAATAATACTCCTCAAATGACCCCAAAGTGTTCTTCTAGTGACTAATGTGTACTCTCTAGAAACTCGTAAACTTGATTATTCAGTAAGTTCAGATAGAAATAGAGTCAATGTGATATATTATACTGAAATGATTTAGATAGCTTTATTTTAATCAAAAACTTCGGGTTTAATCCCTTATCAAATTGACAAGACGTTAAATTTCATAAATAGACCTTCAAATATATATATATATATATATAAATCTAAAATTTAATTAAATTTTAATATGGATATCAAATGTTAGATAAAAATTATTACAGATTGATGGGTGCGGGTTGCACACATAGTCAAATCAAATTCACAAGTATCATGTTTTCATTGTTTTTAGTTTGAAATTATATGATTAAAAAAATAAAAAATTGTTAGTTTCTTGAAAAATCTGGTCTCACTTTTTAAAACCAAATTTAAATGGAATCATATATGAAAATTTGTGATTGAATAGGTCTAGTTTCAAAATAAATTATCTCTAGTTTGAGTTTAAAAATAATGAATTATAGTACTGAGTCTCATATAAGATACTCTAATACAAAGTACAATATCAATTATTCTAGCACAGAGGCTAATATAAGATAATATAAAGTACAATATTTATGATTGATTATCTGGACCAGGGTATCGTATGTACAAATTTAATTGATATCATTAAATAATACAAGAACTAAGTTAGAATATAAATTTGGAACAACAAAAGAATAATATATAGTTATATAAGAATATTTGTAAGTTGAGCAAACATCAAGCACAAAAATGTCTTATTTTAAAGGAAAAAAATGGGTATAAGGAGTATATAATTTTTTTATCAAAATTAAATTAAATTTCAATACAATTATGTATTAAAAGATAAACCGAAAAATAGAAAAAAAAACTATTGTAACAATAACATTTCAATACGATAACATAAATAAAATTATTAAAAAATAATATACATACAATCTTATACTATTAACGATGAAAATTATCATCAACTCAAAAAAAATAACATAAATAATTTTTTTTAAAAATAATATATATACAATTTTATACTATCTACTATAAAAATTATCATCGACTCTAAGAAAAAAAAAGAAAAAGGGAGCGCATGTGGGAGACTCACATCACTCTTTATCACGTGGGACAACTTTGACACCACACATTAACCCCACTTTTGTCTACTTTTATCTTTTTGTTACTTTCACCTAATTATCTTTTTTTTTATTTTGGAGATCTTCGATTCGATATTATATACATAAATAAATATATTTATATGTATATTTTAATAGTTATTATATATGATTTATTCAACGTAATTTATTGATTATTATATTAAATTTTTTTAATCTAAAATATTCCTTTGATATTAATTTTTACTTATCAAAATAAAAATATAATTATAATTGTAATCTTGAATTTTTAATTTTATAATTATAATCATAGAAATATTCTAATTTTAAACCAAATCAAACAGAACACATTATGTGACATCAACACAGTATGAATTGCTTTAATAAAGTTGAAATGCTTATATAAAACAAAACTTGAAAGACATAGTAAACAATTTCTTGAATTTAAAATCAACTCAAATACTAATTAATATTGCTAATTCAATAATCCTTCTTAATTAAAATAATCATGAAATCTAATAGTAAGACAATTGGCATACTTTGGACCCCATTGCTCCTTATCAAGGCTCCACCTTGACTCTCTTTATATATAGAAAAAAAATTCTATAATAAGTAACCTGAGATCATTATTTTAATATTATTTTATATTAGTCAGTAGAGAAAATTTTATTTTCCAGAAAACTGGTGCAAATTTGGCATCCTCTAAAATAGTAGTTGAACTACACAATGCCATCTAATTTTACAAATAAAATTTGAATTCGATAAGATGTATATAATTTTATTTTATTTTTGGATTAAAGAGGTTATTTCCTCTCCTACTTAACGAGGGACAACATTTAATTATCGATTAAAATTTTGTTTTAATCCTCGATTTATATATATTTTTGTTTTTATGCCCCGTTTTGTTTTTTTACCTATATTTACCTCTCCTAACTCCCGCTACATCAATTTCTCACATTTTGGAACTAATTCACCTACTCTTAACAATTAACATGTTTAAACTATTTCGTTCTCTCATTTTTCTTGTTTTGTCCAACACAAAGTCCCCTCTCTAATGTGAGCGTTTTATTTCACCACCTCACGATATAGTTTTTGGTATTATCATCAATCTCATTGTCTTCCTTGATGATGGATTCAAAAAGCTTGAAGCTTTCTTGTCGGTTACCTTATGAATAACGTCATTAAGTTTGCACTTCAGACATCTGTTCTATAAAAAATTTTACAAGTTAAATGCTTATAAGTATATTTTAGCTTATCTATACATTTGAAAAATAAAAAATGTGTTTGCAAATCTAAAACAATCAAAAATGTTATCACTTTCAACTTATGATTTTACACCTTATAAACTATTTTTGATTTGATAGAACCTTTTACAATTTTCTCACTATATTTCATTTTATAATTTTTGAAAAACTCTTTCCTAAAATATGTTTTTATTATGTAAAATTACTTTATATATATTTTCTATATATAAATAACTAAATGGAGGACACTTCAATCATTTTAACACGAGAAGTTCTTATCAAATATCATTCGTCAAACACATCAAATATTTATAATTAAATCCAATAAATCTATTCAAATACTAATTATTTATTCATTGATTTAATTTCAACGCTTAAATAAGATATTTATTACCGCCCACATTTTTAGTCATCTAATCCAAACGATCTCTATATTTAATTATTTTTCACATTAAATTTTACAAAGGGCAAAAAAAAATTGATTACAAAAGAACCTCTCAATATTTTTTAAAAAAACTTTAACCTAAAAATTCATCAATTAATTAAATTCCCAGTCTTCCATCTTCTCCGTTCACTACATACACACTCTCACTGTACATTTCTTACTCAATTTCTCTCTCTAGAACATTCGCCATTGCTGAAATTATTGAAGCTCTCAACGGCCGGCAAAAATACATCACTTCCTGTAAGTATATTATATATATATATATAATATACTTTCTGCATTATGCTTTTGTACGTATCTGTAAATGCATAGATTCTACTTATCCTTTTTTTTTTCCTCTTTGTAAATTAAGATATTTTTGCTTTAATTTTTCGCATCTGTAAGTCGTTTTCGAGTGAACATTTAATTGTTTTTGCGATTTAAACTCGAGAAAATTCACATTTTACTTCTCCTTCATTATTTTTCAGCGACTTCCACTGACTTGCAGATATATTTGACTTCTAGGTGTGTTTATTGCTTGTTTTATGCAATTTTTCTGCTCAGATTTGAATTTGAACTGAGTTGACTAAGGGAATAAGGTTGTGAGATTTGAGAAGGAATGGAGTCATCGCAATCGCAGCTACAGAGAAGAGGAGGAGGCTTAGTTTCGATGTCACCGTCGCACACGCCGCGGTCGAGTGATAAAGTGGTGAGAGATCTGCGATCGGGGGAAGGGAATGTGAATGGGAAGCATGATAAAGAAAAAGGTGTAAATGTGCAAGTTATTTTGCGTTGCAGGTGAGTAAAAATGAATGTACTTTCGAGTTTGTTATATTTACTGATTTTAATTGAGTGTTGTTGATGGAGTAGCTATGGTGAAAATTTACAGGCCGTTGAATGAGGATGAGATAAGATTGCATACACCAGTTGTGATTTCCTGTAATGAAGGTAGAAGAGAAGTTTCTGCTATTCAGAACATAGCTAATAAGCAGATTGACAGAACATTTGCCTTTGATAAGGTTTGATAATTTCCAGCTGATTTATCATTCATCTGTTCAATTTTTTGAACAGATTTACGCAATGTTATGCATAAAATTTGGACTTATTCCTAATTTCCTATAGCTTTCCTTAGATTTTTCCGTAAAAATAAAGCATTTTTCATAATTCTCACTAGAACTGTAGTATACACACTAAATGAATTTGTCCATTACACTTTTGTCAAACAATGAGTTAAAACTGGTTATTTGTTTTCAAGACCCTAACTTTATGTTGGATAATTCTTCTGTCTCAGGTATTTGGTCCAACATCCCAACAGAAGGACTTGTATGATTCTGCAATATGGCCAATTGTTTTTGAAGTTCTAGAGGGATATAACTGCACCATTTTTGCTTATGGGCAGACAGGAACAGGGAAAACTTATACAATGGAGGGAGGGGGAAGAAAGAAGGTTGGTGGTTGATAGAAATGTGTTTGTTTCAACTAGTTATTTTTTCATGCACTAATTGTTAAATTTGCCCCATTTAGAATGGGGAATTTCCAAGTGATGCAGGTGTTATCCCCCGAGCTGTAAAACAAATTTTTGAGATATTGGAAGCTCAAAATGCTGAATATAGTATGAAAGTAACACATTTGGAGCTTTATAATGAGGAGATCACAGATCTTTTAGCTCCCGAGGAATGCATAAAGTATGTAGATGATAAATCCAAAAAACCAATAGCACTGATGGAAGATGGTAAGGGTGGAGTTTTGGTTAGAGGCTTGGAAGAGGAGATTGTTTCCACTGCAAATGAAATCTATAAGATCTTGGAGAAAGGTTCAGCTAAGAGGCGTACAGCAGAGACTCTTCTTAACAAACAGAGTAGTCGTTCTCACTCTATTTTTTCTATCACAATTCACATCAAGGAATGCACTCCAGAAGGGGAGGAGATGATCAAATGCGGCAAACTGAACCTTGTTGACCTTGCTGGTTCTGAGAACATATCACGTTCTGGTGCAAGGGAGGTAAGATGTAAAAATATCCGACTACCAAGACATTGTGTTTGGCAGTATACTTAATGCACGCAAAAGTAGTTTAGACAAACAATGTAATGCCGAGATGCTGTTTTAGCAGTGTCACAAATTTATCTTTAGTTCATGATAGCTAGTCTCTAGATATTCTGCTTTTTGAGATCTTTGTACTTTTTATCCTTTTTCCTCGTTCAGTTGCTTTCTTCTCAATTACAGTATAATAAACTAATTTTTCTTTTGCTGCAGGGCAGGGCGAGGGAAGCTGGAGAAATCAACAAGAGTTTGCTTACACTTGGTCGTGTTATAAATGCTTTAGTTGAACACTCTGGTCATATCCCATACAGGTCTTCTTCAATCCAGTCCTATGTTATTATAGAGTGCTTTTTAGTTCTTACATATCCTGAGTAAGTATTGCTTTGTATATGCCAGGGATAGCAAATTGACACGGTTGTTGAGGGATTCTCTTGGAGGGAAAACAAAGACATGCATTATTGCAACAATATCACCGTCAGTTCACTGTCTGGAAGAGACACTGAGCACTTTAGATTATGCTCATCGTGCCAAAAACATAAAGAACAAACCAGAGGTTAGTTTTCGGGATATTTATTACCTAAAAAATGTATCTTTAACTGTCCTTCAGCTTTTCTTCTGTCGTTATTTCAGATTAACCAGAAGATGATGAAATCTGCATTAATCAAAGATTTGTACTCCGAGATTGACAGACTGAAGCAAGGTCTATACTACTGCTCTCTTCCTCTCTTTTTCTGTATATAAATCTACATCTTACAGCAACAAATTATCTAACAACATTTTTTTAAAATCTATTTTATTGCCGATAGAGGTGTATGCTGCAAGAGAGAAGAATGGCATTTATATACCAAGAGACCGATATCTTCAAGACGAAGCAGATAAGAAGGTTAAGTACTGTTTTCAGGATCCCAAGATTGGTTGCAGTCACTTGACATACTTGTTTAATACTCTGTGGTAACTTGTTTTTCCCCTCTCTCAGGCAATGTCTGAAAAGATAGAACGGATGGAACTTGACTTCGAATCCAGGGACAAGGTGCACAAGAGATGAAAAAATCTGGAGCATCTTAATTTTCTTGTAAAAACTGATAAATCTGAACTCATTATCCTGTTGCTTTCTGTAAACAGCAATTTATGGAACTTAAGGAACTATACAATTCTCAGCAATTGTTGACAGCAGAATTGGGTGACAAACTTGAGAAGACAGAGGTTAGTGGAATTCTTAAGACATCTTATTCCAGATCATTGTTGTCCGACTCTTTCTCATGAAATTTGCTACACTTTTTTTGTGTCTTTTCAGAAAAAGCTTCAGGAAACTCAGCATACATTGGCTGATCTCGAAGAGAAACACAGGCAGGCAATTACCACTATAAAAGAAAAGGAATTTCTGATATCTAACCTTCTAAAATCTGGTAAGCTTCATCCTCTATGCCTGGGGAAAGGAGAAATTTTTTGGCTTTTCATTTGGCTTGTGGAAGCAACGTATTTATACCAAGTCTACTATTTTAACATATTCATAACAGAAAAGTTGGGAATGGGTGTATTACATTTTTCATTAACATTTTCATAAAAGTAAAGTTGGGATATGGGTTTATTACATTTTTCATTAACATTAGCAAATTTGGATGTAGCCATAATGATTTGGCAGTGAATGTGGGGATTTATGTAAAATAATTTCACATTTAGAGTAGTGCATGATATCTGGAATTGTATGTCTTCTACCAGAAAAAGCACTGGTTGAGCAAGCATTTGAACTTCGAGCTGAACTGGAAAATGCTGCATCAGACGTGTCAAACTTGTTTGCTAAGATTGGTGTGTATTACACTATACAGTTCTAAAACTCAAAATACATGATTAATTTTCTTGCTTAGAAAACAATGTTGCATCAAACTCCTGCATACTGATAATGGGTGATTTCAGAGCGCAAAGACAAAATAGAAGATGGAAACAAAGTTCTCATCCAAAATTTCCAATCCCAGCTGACTCAACAGCTTGAAGTCCTGCATAAGGCTGTTGCTTCTTCAACCACACAACAAGAGCAACAACTCAAAGGCATGGAGGAAGACATGCAGTCCTTTGTTTCAACAAAGACTGAGGTATTCTTCACGCAAATTCAGTTATTAGCCATGTTTCTAGAAAAATTGGAATTTTGATTCCAAAGCCAAAAGGAGATGGCAATATGTACATTTCAGATATTATTTGTTGCAGTATTTACCAAAACTATTTAATTAGGGAGCATATATAATTATTTGAACCTGCTCTTTCGACAGAAAAACATTACATGTTTCATAAGTGAAGTGCTTCAATTGTCTAATAGGTTTACATATTTCTGGTGAAAATTGTACTCCTATTAACCAATATCACTTTTTTGTCTGATTTTCAGGCAGTGGAAGAGCTTCGAGGCCATCTGGAGAACTTAAAAACCATGTTTGGTTCTGGTATCAAAGCTTTAGATGGTTTGGCTGGGGAACTTGACGGCAATGCTCAGTCAACCTTTGACCGTTTAAATTGTGAAGTTTCTAAACATTCTTCTGCTTTAGGAGAGGTCTGTATCTTTTCTGCTGTTTTTAAGACATTCTGAGGAATTTGTTTCTTATCTCCTTTTTCCTGATGTAGCTTTTTAAGGAGATTGCTTCTGAGGCTGATACCTTGGTTAATGATCTTCAAAAAAGTTTACATGATCAGAAGGAGAAACTAATCGCATTCGCACTACAGCAACGTGAGGTATCAATAGTGAACTATTTGTGAAGCACATATATTCTTTCAATGCTCCTTATCTGGATCTTTCTTTTTCCTGAACGAGTATAGCTTATAAACTTTGGATGCCTTTATATAGGCACATTGCGGGAGTATCACGATGTCAAGGTCCATTTCTCAGATTACTGGGAACTTCTTTAAGACTCTAGATATGCATGTGTCCCAGTTGGGTGAAATAGTGGAAGAAGCACAGACGGTCAGTGACCAGAAATTCTCTGAACTAGAAAAGAAGTTTGAGGTCTGTGACTTCATCACTAGCATATGACTATTTATTAAACTATGTCAATATGCATTTCTAACCTCATTTATTTGGATCTCTCAATTTTAGGAATGTGCTGCCAATGAGGAAAGACAAATCTTGGAGAAAGTGGCTGAGTTGCTCGCTGGATCAAATGCTAGGAAGAAAAAGCTGGTAGGTCATCTAGTAATGATAAAGATGCTCATCACAGTTTTCGATGTGGCTAAGATTGCACAATTTTAAATTTTAGAAAATGATGATAACAATATCAACACGAGAAAGTTTATAGGTGTTGTAGAATGTAGACAGATTGGGACTTCCTTTTTCTTGTGTAGTTTTATATTTTGAATGTTTGCTTGATTGCTTGTAGTCAATGATCATTAGTAATAATTGGCTTATTATGATCAAGCAGAAATCCTGTATCCAAAAATCACAGTCATCGATTGGCTATGATTTGCTTCTGGTTGCAAAAACCAATTGACTTTTGTATGACTGCCTTCTGCAGGTTCAAACTGCTATCGATGACCTCAGAGAAAGTGCCTCCAACAGAACGAGCAGACTGAAACAAGAGATGTCAACCATGCAAGATTCAACTTCTTCTGTTAAAGTCAAATGGACTGCTTACATGGAAAAGGCTGAATCACACTATCTAGAAGATACTGCTGCTGTGGAAAATGGGAAGAAAGAGATGGAAGAGGTGCTACAGAATTGGTATGTTAACTCAGCTGATATATTCCACGCAAATATCTTAGGAAAAGCTTCGTTCTTTAATGTTTGCAAGTGTATCATCCTTTCTGTGCTAACCTGGAAATATGCAATGGTGCAGTGTGCAAAAGGCTAAATTGGGAGCTACGCAATGGACAAATGCTCAACGGTCTTTATTAGACCTAGAGGAGAGAAATGTTGCATTTGTCGATGAAATTGTCAGGTCAGTTGGTTCACTGACTGTTCACTACTTCAGTTTCTTAATGTTGATATTTTACTTAGACTGATACTCCCGATGTTTACTGCAGGGGTGGAATGGATGCAAATCAAGCATTACGTGTAAGATTTTCATCTGGAGTGTCATCCACTCTCGAAGACACTGATGCTGCTAGCAAACACCTACTCTCATCTATTGACCGTAAGCTATCTAGAGTTGCACGTTAAACGTTTTAGCTTTTTTATTTTTCAATTAATTTGATCAACACATGCAGATTCCTTACAACTCGACCGTGATGCTTGTGCAAACCTTGATTCTACAATTGTTCCTTGTTGTGGAGAGCTGCGAGAACTAAATAGCGGACACTACCACAAGGTTGTTGAAATTACAGAGTACACTGGAAAAAGTCTTTCACAAGAATACATGGCAAGTGTGTTTTACCTCAAATTTTACGTTTAGTTTGTTAAAAAAAGTCTATGTTCTAAGTCTATATTTCAAATTCTTTTTATTTATACTAGGTCTATGTTCTAAGTCTATATTTCAAATTCGTTTTATTTATACTAGGTTGATGAACCGTCTTGTTCGACCCCAACAAAGAGACCATTTAATCTTCCAAGCGTAGAATCTATTGAAGAACTAAAAACTCCTGCTTTCGAAGAGTTGTTGAATACATTTTGGGATGGTAAATCCTCAAAGCTATCAAATGGAGATGTAAATCATAGTAAAGAGATAGAGGTAGATACTTCTTTACTAGAGTCAAGAGTTTCCCTCACTGCTGTAAATTAGAAGAGTCCACTCCAAACTACAATTACATACATCATAGTATATGGCAATGAAGGAGGAGACTGGAGAGTTGTACATAATGTGTCTTTGAATCTCCATCTTCTCACCTATACGTAGCAGATAATTTATCCTTGTTCTTTTTATTTGATTTGAGTGATCGAAATATGTAATGTCTGTGCTGAACATGTTAGTTTGAAGTGTCTGTGGATGCATTATTGATAGAGATTGTAAATTTCATTTGCAACTTGTAGTAAACGATACATTGGTATACTGAGATTTCAACTCTTAAATTGCCTCAATGCAAGTATTGCTTATGGTACAGAAGCTAATCTTGGGGCCAAAACCCAGACACCCCCAAGAAACAATGGGGTTGATGTCATAAATTTAGCCAGAGTAAATAAATGTAAGGTGAACAATCAAGTATGAATGTAGTTAAAGGAACAAGGGGGAAGCTTGATCACAAGACCAACTTATTTTTCATTTATCTCATCTAATAACTAGATTAATGTTACATACGAGAGGGTATAATGACACATGGACTCTGCTGCTTCTCAATTCAGAACAGTGATTAGGCTTCAGCATTCTCGTATTGTATGAATATGCCATGTAAATATACTGTATACACTGAAAAAAAAAGGAACAGACGAAAAAGGGATAAGAAAGACGAGGGCTAAATGAGATTTAAAAAAAAGAAGTTATGCAACTGCAAGCAAATCATCACCTGCAGTCTACATATTGAGGCTCCCCTTTTTTCCTTGTTTTAACTAAGAAAGAATCTACATTTGAACTGTCATGGCCAAAATATACCATCTTAGCGACCAGCATGGCCAAAAAAAAATAACTGAACCATTGATGACTGAATTTCACGGAGCGCAATTGGACAGTATTTTTTGTTAGAGCCATCTGACAGCCGAAAGTTCCCGACGCTTGAGGTAGGTAATATATAAGGCTTTTCTGCAGCAATGACCAAATAAACAGTATGTTAAGGAGTAAAAATAAAACAGTATAATTCCAACACTCTTCCCCTTACCCCAGGAGGTGGAATCAACCAAAACAATGAATCAAATCCACAAAAACCCTCATAAAATGGAAATCCAAATTTATAACTTCCTGGCTAAAATTCACCATCTATAAATAATTAGTCCCATGTCAGTTTACTACTACTCACGACATAAATAGAACGAGACTAAAAACATGATGAGAGACCAGGTCAAGTTGCTTAAATAGACCAATCAACCACACTAAAATTTCAAGTAAGTTTGCATAACATAATGAACTAGAAATATTACTTCACAGTTTCAGGGAGAGTATTAGGAAAAAAAGGAAGATGAATGCATTAGAAAAGGTAACAGGTACAAAATGTGACGTGGATCAAAGTACCTGGAAGCTTCTGACAGAGCTCTTTCCACAATCAAGCTGGTGGTTCTCCACCACATGTTTCACCAACAAGATTATCAGTTGAGTTTTGCTGACATAACAACTTATTTCCATCTCCAGGAGTTGAGCAAAGAGTATCCCAATCCATCAGAGAAGAACCACAATGCATAGCACCTTGTTCTGACATATGACTGCTCTTAATATTGCCCTCTACATGATCCTTACCATCCTCATAAGTAGGGTCTGTTCGATCCTCATCCACATTTGAGGGCTCAACATTGGGATCTGAGCTCAAATCAAAACCATTTTGTTCCCCTGTCCCATTATAAGCTACAGTTACAACTCCTTGATCAGATGGTTCAGCAACTTCTTTCTTTTGCCTCTTCCATTTCTTTGTAGATGAAGTACCATCATCCTCAAAATCTTCTTCTTCTCTATCTCTGTGCAAGTAAACCCAGAGCTTCTTCTCATTATCAAACTGTACACAAGGATCACGTTCATAATGCAAACGATCCAACGCACCACTAACAACTTGATTGACTTGAGCATCAGAGACCTCCTCCACAATATACTGTGAGTCTCTGATTAAAGTACAAACATCTGCTCTAGTTCCTGTGCTACCAGGCAACCTAGCAGCTGCATCTCGCACAAGACAGAGAATCGTTACATGGGCAGGGCGATCCTTTTTAAGCATGAAGTGATCACGAGCTTTTGACGTTGGCTTGCCACCACACCTTCTCAGAGGAGCAACTATTGATTTTTTCCCATCAATAGCAGTGTAGGAGAAGGCCCTGTCAGGTATTGAGTACCTAAGGAATTCCTCTTTACGGAAATACTCTCTGACTTCTTCGGAGCTTGGGCCAATGGTACTCAGACTCTTCTGAGCTCGCAAATCTCTGAACCTTTCCTTCTCATCTAGATTATATTGCATCAATGACAACGGAGGGTCAGGGAGACTTCCTATCTGCCGTAGCGTCTCTTGACCATTTTTCAGCCAATTGGCAAAAGAATCAACCAACTTGACAAGCATTTTGTGAGGAAGACCCCACACTTCTGGAGATGTGACTTCCTCCATAGGCTCATGATCAGATGAATCAGGGCTCACTGGACCAATCCAGGACCAACTTTTGGTTGGTTTGTCATAGACCACAAGAGACTTCCACCCTTTTGCACCAAGCGGTGCTGTTTTGGAAGAAAATATTTTGAGTACTCCTCTGACCAAATCATGGAGAGGTTCTTGAGTCTCAAGAATACAGGGATCTCCCGGGTTTGATCTCACACGGTTAACAATTTCTTGAACACTCAGAGAGGGCACCTTTGCTTGAGTGGAAGGAATTGAATTATCACCATCCAACTCTGAGGGTGGTGCAACTCCCCCATGCTCCTCCAGAGCTTCCTGTCTTCCAGCAATTGTATCTACAGCCTCTTCTGGAAGCAAAGTAATCATTGCCATACGAGCTGCTGAAAGAAGATGAATGATGGAGAATGAAAAGCCAGTATGAACTGTAGGAGTAATCAAAGTGAATGGCTTTTTTTGAGGTCGACTTTCCACATCTACATCTTCTACTACCATTTCTGAAGTTGGGGATCTGGGAACTCCCACTAAAGGAGGCCATGTTTCATCCTCCAGCTTCTTTTTACCCCGCTTCACTGAGAGGTCATCTTGTCGCTGCTGGGTATCAGAATAGAGAGGGTCAGTATCATCTAGCTCGTATGGGACATCAACTTTGACTTTCCGCTTCTTCATGACTGAGTTGCAACCTGTTAAATGCATATCAGATTTTTCATGGTGATCGAGAGCACTTGTGTCAAGCATCTGACCTTTCTTTGAAAACTTGGAAGAAACTCCATTCCTTTTGGCCGGCAACCGTGTCCGCAATGAGTCATCCTCCTGAAACTTGTGATCTTGCATATAATTTGCAGGCAAGATATCACGGCTAACTTTTCCTTTTTGTTTCTTCTCTCTGCTGGATGCCATGTGGTACTTTTCAGTTTGGTCCCCTTGCAAAGGACCATTCTTGGCTAGCTTGTAGATTGGTTGCTCCTCTTCATCATCATTGTCATTGTCGAACTGACTCAAACCGGAGAAATGATTTCTAGTGGAGAAACTACTCAGATGACCAAGATCATGCATCTTACCCATTGGTTCTGCTCCCAAGCCACGACTTCCAGTTTTCTTTGGGCGGAAAAGTTCAGTGGAGTCGCTCATCATCCTAGAAGAATGTAATGAACCATCACCAACCGGTATACTGTACTTACCCTTTTGACCAAATTTAGCGCTTTTAGTATCCAATGCAGGCATCAAATTTGTGGAACCACTGGGATATGCCCACTTGCTCCTCATCAATGGATTGTTATCCTCGTCACTTCTTTCTGATGATTCAGATTCAGTTTCTTCAGTCTTTGCAAATACCCTTCTACCTCTAGTTCCTGACCCATCTTGTCCTCCATTCTGCATTTTCGCCTTGACTTTCTCAGGGAAGGCTTTTCCCCTATAGTCTGACTGAAACAACTTATCATTTAACTTGCGATCAGGATATTCTTGGTCCACCTTCCACTTTTTGCTCACGTTACCAAGCTTGTGTGATGGGTTGGTAAAATAATTATCCTCTTGTGCTTTACTTGGCCAAAATGGTTCACTTCCGCTCGCTAGTTCCATTCCATTTCCCTTCAGTGACATTTTAGGAATCCGGATTTTACCATAATTCATCTGATCTTCAGAGAAAAACTGTGGGAGACCATCCGCATACCTGTCTTTTTTTCCAAATTCATACGCAGCTCTGGCATTGCTTGGCTTTGCAGTCAAGACCTTAATATCTGACAGCTGATTGACAGTATTGTTCCTTCCATAGGCATAAAGATCATTCTTCGACGGGACAGGCACACCCATGAAAACATCAGAGTATTCTTCCACTCTCGACCTTTCATGCTTTTTCCCCAATTTTACAGTCCCACTTCTATCAACAGCCCCTGCCCGTGAAAAGATTCTCTCTCTCTGCACATCCACTTCATACATCCCATCATCCTCATAATTGCCATTCAACATATCCCTCATTGGGACAGCCATCCCAGAATTATAGTCCATTCCTTTACCGCGACGAAAAGGAGGCAATGTAGAACTCTTTGTTCCACCTACCTTCAAATTCCCTTTTAGGTTCTGCTTTTTGTATCTGGCAGCTTCCGAAGCCATTTGGCCCATTTGTCTAGATGATGAATCCAAGGCTGACCCTACTCCATATCCAGAATAACAGCCCATATTCTGACCAAGATTACGATCATTTGTTCTTTTGCCCCACAAAGTATCACTGAACTCCTCTCTCTCGGATCCATCACTTCCCAATTCTTCCAATTTCTCGTACATTAAAATCTTCTCATTCTTCTTAATGTTCAGCACTTGAAGCTTCTCCTCAATGCTATAACCAGGGCAACTGAGCCAAGCATCTCTTATCTGACAAAGATTACTGACAATTGCATTCTGATGGTTTCTGAGATGGTGATAATGCTTCCGCTTCTGAAAGAAAATCAATCCTTGACGGTAAAGTGCCACTCTTGGCTCACATAACCCACCCTTTAACATGTTAAACAGCTTATCCAGGGGACTTCCAAAATGCATATTATTACCTGTGAGGAGATCTTTCAAAGTTCGCATAAACGTTTCCTGGTCCATGTCAGGAAGGTACTGAGCAAGACTAAACCTTTCTTCCTCAGACAACACCTCATTCCAAACATCCAATGACAACACATCCCCCAACCCCGAAAGATCATACAATTCGAACGGAATGCTACATGTTTGATCCCCAATTTGACAAAACTCCTCCTTAGACTCCCCTAATTCCAACAAATCAAAGTCGTCCGATCCTGCCCCTGAATCACAATCATCAAAATCATCATCATCATCCTCGCCATTAGATTCAACCTCACCTCCACCGTTTCGTCTCTGAAATTCCTCATCCTCAGTCGACATACTGTCCCTACTACGAGGAGAAAACTCTGAATCAAATCGTGATGCCTTAAAGCTTCCCTTTTCGATCACCATTCAACATATAAACAACCCCCAAACAATAAACAGACCACACCAGCACACTAACCTTCCAATCCAAATTCAAAACCCTAGAAAAAAAAAATCAACCAAACATGCCAAAATTCAGAGATTCTCCATACCCATAACGAAAAATCACAAAATATTGAAAACCCGCCTCATCAAAACAAATATAAACACCCCCATATACATATATGATGTAACAGGTGTAAACAAAAAAAGATTACAGATTGAATTAGAAAAAATTACCTTGTAAACAGATGAACAGAGAAGCAAGAAACAGAAAGGCGACCCAGAATTCTTTGAAGGTAATGTGAGGGAAAGAGACAGAAAACCCTAAGAGAAGAGGCGGTTATATTGTGCTATGCGGGTGTTTGGAAGAGCACAGTGGATTATACTATACAAGAAAAAAAGGGAGAAAAGGAGAAGAAGAAGAAGAAGATGAGGACGTGGATGGTGGCATCGCCGTTGGATTGAGTGCTGAAAAGACGAAAAAGGGCATCGGAGAGAGAGAGGGAGCTTGAAGGAGATAGTAGTAGAGTGTAGAGAGAGAGAGTGTGTGTGTGTTTGGGTCGAGGAAGAAGGGGCTGAGTCAGGGAACAGGACGACTCGGGGTAATAGTGTGGGTTCGGAAACTTGAATCAAATTGATTAAATAATAATAATAATAATATATTAATTATGATAAAAAAATAATTTGATAAGTTAAAATTTGAAAAGAATAAAGTATACACAAATTTATATATGAAAATACACAAGAGGAATTATGAAATTATTTATTCTTTAAATGTTTATTTTCGATTATTATTTGAAATAAACTTCCGTTCTTTATAAAAATAGTAATGAAATGAAATCATGAATAAAAAAAATGTGTTGAATTAAAACTCCTTCTTACAGTGTATACAATATGACAAATTGTATGATCCTCTCAAAGCAAATTAAAGAAAAACATACTAAATGATTTGGAAAATGAGATATGAATATGAGGATTTTAAGATGCAATCATAAAATAATTGGTATGGATTGTAAATTGATTATATTAATTAATTAATATATTCCCTTTTTTTTACAAATTAATAAGGTCTGATCTAATTCGCTTCTTCCTTTTTTAATCATAGAAAAAAAGAAATGTTTCTATGATTTGAACAGATTTATTAATTAAAATCTATATAATACTATATCCTTAGATATAATAATCAGCGTAGGATGGATCTTTGCTAAGAAATTATTTAATTGTTGCTATTGCAAGTGTTACTTTAATGCTTAGGCACCTATAATGTGTGTGTTAGCATTGCAATTAAGAAAAAAAATATTTCATTAATGTTTTATTTTATATGGAATATAATTTGACTAAAACCAAAACAATTATACAACATATGCTACTAAAAACCCCAAATAGTTAAATTACATATGATGTTTAAAGGATTAAATTGAAAGAAGTATTTAGTTTTGATTTTTTAAAAATAAAAAATATATAAATGATGCTAAATACGGTGGAGAAGGATAAGGTAAAACTTTGAATAGACGAAAAGTTAAACCACCCTAATCCACTCCATAGCCATTCTTAGTGTTCATGCATGAGAAATTTTTGTGAGTCCAAAAAGTAATGTTCTTAAATGTTATGTAGATTGTTTTTTTCTTTCTAAAATAAGGGCACATGTTTTATGATATATCATTTAATAAGTTAATACATATCTCTAACTCATGTGCTTTTCCAAAAATGATAAACCAAAAATTTTAAATTGTTAAACTTTAAATCATTATATCTCTAAGTTTATAACTTCAAGCCCAAAACAAATTTTCCACTTCAACTCAGAAATAGATTTTAAATGGGCTACTATAGAAAATGGGCCTTCTTGCTTATTTGACCCGTCCCCATATCGTTCACCTTCCCAAGCCCAAATATATTCCGTCGTTTTTGTTATTTTCATTTTTATTTCTATATATAACGTCATATATGAATTATGTCAAATAAAATTTATGTGTTTATTTATTCAATTTTATATGAATTGAAATGTATTTATGTATGTTCAAAATTGAATAATGTAAATATAAAATAAGATTAAATTAAATGACACACTTATATATTTTAATATATAAATATCTACAAGTAAAACAAAACATAGAAAAAGAACAAAAGAAAAAAAAGGTGGAGCATAACGTGCTCACAACTATAGAGCTACCTGTTCAGTAAAAAAAATAATATTTGAGAATCATGCACGTTATGCAGAAAAACAAATGTCTACTACCTACTATTAAAAATAATTGAGTTGTTTGGGTACAAGAATGTTTGTCCATAATGCATTCAACACCTACTTCTTTGTTTACGAGGATAGATCAATCGAGGCGGAGTCGGAATTTGATTGGTGTAAATTTAAAATATAGAATAACAATATAAATTATGTAGTAATTATTTGTAGAATTATATATATATATATATATATATATATATATATATGGCATAATGAATAGATGTGTATTTGAACTTAATTTAGCTAACATTTATGTCTTTTTTGTTTAATTTTTAATATGCACAAATAGATATTTAAATTTATAAAAAAATCAAACAAGTCATGAAAATTTGCATGGGATATACTCGAACTGATTTGTATTATGCAATGTAGGACGTGTGTTTACTTATTCAATTTTATACGAATTTAAGTATTTAATTGCACATTCAAAATCAAAAGGGAGTCAAATATAAATATAAAATGAAACCACGTCAAAAAATAATTTATATATTATTAGTTATATCATTTCTTAAAAATAAATATAACATTTACATAAAAATTAAATTGCTTCCTTTTTATGCGATAAAAAAAAAAGAAGGAAAGATATGGAACGAATCTTATCATATGATCAATCTTTCAAATAAAAGAAAAATCAAGCTAGTTGTATTTGCATCATGGGGAATAAGCTTAGCTGTAATATCCTCCAAGATTAAGCTAATGAATTCAAATATATATATATATATTTTTAAAAAGTAAATAAATAAAATATAGGTTACATGTTTAAATTATGTAAACAATTATTAATACGTATATTAAGATAGTTTGTCTATACATTATTCTTTTGAGGTGTAGTTTTTTCCTAAATCGTACCAACACAATATTTTATGCATATTAGTCTTCATTTTGTAAAATTTGCTTTAAGAAATAATTTCTAAACATTCATACTGAAAATTAGATAAGTTTAACTTTTCCGAAACATATATTTAACCAAAAAGTAAATTTCATAACTTTTGGTTGCAAGCAATTTTCTTAATAAATTTATACGTACCAACTTTTCATCCTGCTAATACTTACAAACATTACAATAATAATAACAATAATATATTTGAATAATTTCACAAGTGAAATTTAAAAAAAGTTAGACGTATCTAATCTTATCTTTCTCTCTTTTTTAATTGAGCTAAAAAAATTGTTCTCGATAAATTCTTAACTCGAAAAAAAAATCAAAGCAGAAAATTAAAAAAAACCAAAACGACAATAACATAGCAAAATAAATGAAACCGAAAAAATAACATGTAATTTAATGATAAAATTGAAGAAAAAATACCATGCAAAGACCTAACAAAAAGAAGATGAGATTAGACTTTAGAGTGTCTTTCCAACGTAAAACTACATCAATATATAATCACCTACTATCGAATTACTTTAATATTCGACTCTCATATTTTTTTTTATTTAAAATTATAATATTTATATTTAAAAAATTAATTTGGAACGAATATATGAAGTATATACTAATTTAACAACTATGCATTTTTTAACCCTTTATGCCACCTGTATAAAATTCATGTTTTCTTCTTCCGAACCTCTCATTATGAATTAATCTCTGCAAAATATTATGTGCAGATCAAAACTTGAAGAAAAAACATAAAGAAGAAGAAGAAGAGAATTTTGTGTAAAAATGGGAGAAACCCCTATAGAAAATGGAGGAGGAGGAAGAACAAAAATGGTTAGAATAGAATCAGGGGCAGCAAGAGGGTTCAAGAGCCTTCATTTTCTTGATAATACAACAGGAAAAGAAGCAGATGCTTGGAAAAATGTTGAGAAAAGATTTCATATAAATGCTGTTAATGGCATTCTTTTTAAAGACAAATTTGGACCCTCTATAGGTATGAAAAGTTTCTTTTTTAAAAAAAATAAAATCGGGGCTAGGGGAAAAAAGGGATTTTTATCAACTGAGCTACTAAATTTATGTGATATTGTTTTTTTATTTTTTTCTGAAATGAAAGGAATGGAAAGCAAGGAATTTGCAGAGGAGTTGTTTGATACAATGGCAAGGAGAAAGAAGATTAATGCAGAAAATGGGATAACAATTGAGGAACTTAAAGAATTTTGGGATGATATATCAACTCATTGCCCTGATACAAGGCTTCATATTTTCTTTGACATGTGAGAAATTTTCCATTCCTTTTTTTTTGTTTTGTTCACGATTTGAAGCTTATGAGTTCTGGATTCTAATCTTTTAAAGTTACAGAGTTGTGTGCATATTCAATAGGATTTTTAAATATGTATATATGGTTTGAACTAAAGTATGGCCTAGCTGGGGGTTAGGGAGGGAAGAAAAACTAATAACATATGCTGGAGGGCCTAAACTTGTCAATCTTGTAGTACGAATGAATTCATGATTTTAACTTGATGGATTCAATGTGTAATGTTCTTAAGATTAAACACGTTGTACTTTTGAAATTATGAGACCAAAATTCGATATTTTTTCTTATTTTAGTGGTTTTTCATGCATGTGTTCAGGGGCGAAGTCAGGTAGGGTCAAGGGTTCATCCAAATCCCCTTAGATGAAAACTTACATTGTAGTATTATTTTTTATGCATACATTGTAACTATCGGATCCCCTTAGTGAAAATTCTTGCTACGTATTCTAGCTTGAAGATACGGAGTTCAGATGAACTCGTTGTTTAAAAGCTCCATTGTTCTTTGTTTTTCAGGTGTGACAAGAATGGTGATGGGAAACTATCAGAAGAAGAGGTCAAGGAGGTGAGAAAAACATACTCACAAGTGAATTTGTTCTTTGTTTATTTTGGGAGTCAGTCTACTTAATACTTTTTTGTGAAAGGTTCTAGTGATGAGTGCTTCAGCCAACAAATTGACAAACTTCAAGAAACATGCAGCAACATATGCAGCTTTAATCATGGAAGAGTTCGATCCTGATCATTTAGGATATATTGAGGTAAAATTCCACTTAAAGTTGCCATCTTTCTATACGAAGTCGTCTTCTTTTTGTTTTAAAAATTCAACTTTGAAACAGATATGGCAACTTGAATCTCTACTAAGAGGAATGGTTGGATCAGAAGATGGGCAAAATAACATGAAGAGATCACAAACATTAGCAAAAACCATGATCCCTAGACAATATAGAACTCCAGTGAGCAAGTTTTTAAGCAAAACTTCAGAGAAGATATACGATAACTGGAAAAGAATTTGGGTCGTAACGTTGTGGTTGTCCATTAATTTCATACTATTTATATGGAAGATTGAACAATTTAAAAGGAGAGAAGCCTTCAAGATTATGGGATATTGTGTCTGTTTAGCTAAAGCTGCAGGGGAAACTCTCAAGTTCAATATGGCTCTAATTCTCATTCCAGTATGCCGAAGAACTCTTACTCAGATTAGAGAAAGTTTCCTTGGTTATATTATACCTTTTGATGATAACATCAATTTTCATAAAATGGTTGCCGTAGGAATTACTGTAGGGGCCTTTATTCATATATTGTTTCACACAAGTTGCAACTTCGTAAAGTTAGCGTCCTGTCCAGAGAGTAAATTTATGACAGCTCTTGGAAGCAATTTTGGCTACCAGCAACCAACTTACATGGATCTAGTAGTATCTGTTCCAGGCGTAACGGGGATACTAATGACCCTTTTCATGCTTTTCTCCTTCACACTGGCAACACATTCGTTCCGAAGAAATATCATCAAATTGCCTGGCTCATTTCATCATTTGGCTGGATTTAATGCATTTTGGTATGCACATCATCTGCTGATATTTGTGTACGTGCTCTTGATCCTCCACGGCTGCTTCATATTCCTTACCAACGAATGGTACAAAAAGACGGTATGTCCACTTGCATTTTGATAACCTTATCACACTTGTTAACCTGGTATTGAAAGAAGTACTAGTTCAATTATGCACACAAATCATATCGTTGTCCAAATGTTGAGAAAAATGTAGCATGAATATAAGCTCTATACTCTTGATATCTAGTTCAATGTTTCTTCAAATTAGTTAAAGAATTTTCTATCGAAAAGTCATGATTGAATGAGCAAAAATACCTTTAATATGCAGACATGGATGTATCTTGCAGTCCCAGTAGTTCTGTATTCTACAGAAAGAGTTCTTATCATCAATGAGAACCGCTACCACGTGAACATACAAAAGGTTTTAGTTCCAAGAGACTTATATCAATTCAAGAAAAACTCTTAGTAATTGCAAAATTTCTAAATTCAGCTTCATTTCTGTGTTGTAAAACAAAAAATGCAGGCTGTTATATATGCAGGGAATGTACTAGCACTATATATGACTAAACCTCCAGGATTCAAGTACAAGAGCGGAATGTACCTGTTCGTTAAATGTCCAGATATATCAAACTTCGAATGGTAATTAAAGCACAAATTCTAATCAAACATATTCAATATTGTCAATATCCTTGTGCTAAGAAATTTCTATTCGTCTCTTACAGGCATCCATTCTCAATCACTTCTGCACCAGATGAGGACTATCTAAGTGTCCACATACGTACATTAGGAGACTGGACTACAGAGCTTAGAACCAGATTCGAAAAGGTATTATACTATGCTAATTTTCATTTCTTAAAACAACTTTACTCTTCATTTTCTGTGGTGTACAAAACTTGACCGAGTAAAGAAAGGTATCCAGCCATATCGTTGACGGTTTGACACATAATTATCACATAGTAGGCAGATATGTATTTTATGTCAGGTACTTCTTGCAATGTCTTTGTGTAGGATAGTAGGAGACAATTTACTAAGGCATGATTCGTAAAATCAAGATACATAATTCGCTGAAATGAATAAGGAATTTAAAAGGTTTTTTATTCCTATTGTTCTTTGCTCTTGGGATCCTAAAGCTCGCATTTACAGGCATGTCAAGAGGCACCATCCAAGACGAGAAATCTTGTTAGAATGGAAACTAAAGCGTATAATCAGAAGGATGCGGAACAATCTCAAGCCGAGTATGCTACAATTATCTATTGCTAATAGTATCCATCTTATGTTGCTTTGAAACTTATATCTTAAATTTTGAATCAGAAATCCAATGATCATTATCAAAGGGCCTTATGGTGCACCAGCTCAGAACTACAAGAAGTATGATATCCTTCTACTAGTTGGCTTAGGAATTGGAGCAACTCCATTTATCAGCATTATAAAGGACATACTAAACCAGAAATCGGGATATGTAAGAGCTTAACCATATAGAAGTATTTTGTTAATAACAACAGCAGAGACAAAAGAAAATATAACATAATCCAACAACTGCAGAATCAACAAGATGACGGCAAGAAAGGTCCTCAAAGAGCATATTTCTATTGGGTGACACGAGAACAAGGATCATTCGACTGGTTCAAGGGTGTAATGGATGACATTGCTGAACACGACGAAAATGTTGGTTTTTGAACCCTGAGATTATGAATAAGTAGTTTCCTCAATTAGCATAAACTCGGACTAATACACTTTTCATGCTCATGAAACTTTAATATTCTCCTGCAGGAAGTGATAGAAATGCACAACTACTTGACTAGTGTTTATGAAGAAGGGGACGCACGATCAGCACTAATCACAATGGTCCAATCACTGCAACATGCTAAAAATGGAGTTGATGTTGTCTCAGAAAGCCGGGTATTTTGTTAAGATCTAATGATCACTACACTACTAGCTTCAACTTTTTTATTAGAACTGTTCTAACACTTGATTCTCCGACAGATAAGAACACATTTCTCTAGACCAAATTGGAAAAGAGTGTTTGCTCAATTAGCTGTTACACATCCATCATCTCGCATTGGTAAGCCTCTATTTTTGAACTACTTCAAGGTTGATTTCACGGATGGACACTCAACTACTGTATCATTCAGTCTATAAAAACATGTTTAAAACATCACGATATATTGCACAGGTGTTTTTTACTGTGGAAGTCCAACACTTACCAAACCACTCAAAAAGTTGTGTCAAGAATTTAGCTTAAATTCGTCCACGCGCTTCAACTTCCACAAAGAGAACTTCTAGGGTACACGATGATTTCATAGTTTAAGAGTTCACTACAAACATCGGTATCAATATATTTGCAGTTAAATTGGTACTAGTACTATATACTAGTTAGCTGTAAGAGTTTACTTAGAGAAATATAAAAGTGGAATTTCATTTGTTGCAAATTTGTATACTCAGTCTCAAGTCTTTATGTTTTTTAGTTTAGAGAGCATCATGTGATTCTACAGTGAGAAGGTTCATTTCTTCCCATTCTCACAAGTTTTTGTGACAACGTAAAGCTTAAGCTGTTAGAGAGACCCAAATGCTCTCACATGCAGCTTGATTTTTTTTTATATGAGTCAAACAATGTAAGTTCTTTTTAATAATGAATGTGTTGAAACTGATACCATGACCTTTTGGGCTTGGCATTAATCACTTATTGGGCTGAGAATAAAAGGAATTGCAATGATTTGATAATTGCCATAATTTTGGGTGGAATGATACAGGGCCAAGAGCCCTTTTGCACTTATTGGAGACAAACAAACAATTGATATTATTCAAAATTCAGACATGTTTCCAACCCGAATCATTTTGAGTGAATAATATGTTAAAATAATCAAGACATCGAGAAGAGCTCATATTTATATATAGGTAATATTTTCATTTACCACCTTAATCGGAGGACAAATAGAGCCGCAAGTTTTGATTATTTTTCTTATATAAAGATGTATTGTTCGTATAATATAATAATTTTATCGATATATATTTGATGTTAAAGACAAAAGAGCAGCAAAATACAATGATTTTATTTGATTTTTTGCATTAATAACTATACTTAAAGTTGTGCATGTGCTTTCTTTCCCGTACTATTATTTTTTTCTTTTCACACTGTCTCCCTTTGAGCAATAATTATTCCCGTGACTTATAAAAGCACCACATATTTCTTTTAATTTTCTGAGTCGATTCTCTGGAAATTTATTTCCACATAAAAATAAATTAAAATAATGGTAGCATTTAATTAGCGAACAACTTCAAAGATATAGTTGATAGACATTATAATTTCACAAATATTTTAATAATATAAAGTGATGTCATGTTGTTTCTATTGAGTGGCTTATATGGCATAGAATCAACAAATTTAATTAAGTGATAAAAGAGGAATTCGTCAATTCAAAGATATGTTGATATTGACAACATTTTTATAGTTTTTGTAATAATATTAAGAGTGAGGTCATCTTTGCTTGGATTGTATGACATATACTCCTCAAATTCACTAATCTCATATACATATATCGTGTATCGTTTAATATTGCATTGATGAATATTAACTTTAGGATACATTGTATTATTTTTTTATTATTATATAATGTCATACACAATAATAATTTGAAGGATAAACTTATAAGAAATATAGGTTTATGGGATAGAGACTACAGATTCATAAGTAAAGTCACCTTAAGCGAAGAGTGGTACAATATACATCCTTTATTAAAAAAGTTATAAGGTATAAAAATGTTAAATATTATTATAAGTGTTTATATAATTTCGTACATCAATTATTAATTAGCACAATTACAAAGAAAATTTTCACATTCTTTATTAAATTCTTAACTTCGTCACTGAGTAAAATTGTATTAACAATGTATATAAATTCAACATATTTATTTGGATCCTTTTTTGCTTTTCCTTTTTCAAGATCTTTTGTCCTTTCAAAGTTGTGTATAATCTTTTACTTATTGTTGTTTTTAGAAAAATTGTTCTCCTAAAGACATATCCACAATCGTACAAGTAATAAAGTCATTAAGAATTATTCATAGGGACTTGTGAGTGTAATCATAAATTGGGCTCATATAATGAAATTTTGAATTTAGATAACTAAATAAAGTACTAATAGTCAAATTTAGATTTTCTACTAAAAAATTAGTAAAAGAAATCTTTTTAGAAAAATTATATAAAGGGTAAAAGAGGAAAATGAAGAGGTCAATATTAAGTAATTAGAAAACAATAAATCTACTTATATTATAAAGATATTTCCTTTGATTACTTTTACTTTTCAGCATTTTAACATTCATTATTTATTTTCCAAACAATTTCTCAAAACCTAAAACTTTACATTAATTAAAATAGAGATACAATAATAAAATATTTATATTAAACATTATTTCTTACGAAGTCGATAAAATACAACACGGATTTATTAATTAATAAATATAAAAATGGAGAAGGGATGTTGTATTAAATTCATGACATGAAGAATCAATTTTTAGGGATGATACTTTTTTCTCATGCGCCCACCCATATAACGTCCATTAATACTCCAATTTATAGTAATCTGCATGCATTTATTATTAAAAAAAATGCATTTGGCGGATTCAAACTTTTAATTTTTTCGTTAAAAAATTACATTATATTTATATCATAAAAAGGATATGGACATATTGTTGAAATTATACTTTTTATATTTTAAATTTTTTAGTGAAAATTTTTGTCCAATTGATCCAAGAAATTCATTCATATTTTATTTGATAATATATTTAGTAGATGATGAATCTCTTACGATTATTTTAATTTGTATATTTTGAATTTTGTTAATGAAAAAAATTGGTGAGGCAATTCAGATAGTACTATTTACCAGTACTCAGACTGGTAACAGATGGTCCACTAATAAACTCAAAACAGTTCATCTCAATTTTTAATAACACACACTCAAACAGTTAAACCGTATGCAGGCAACATTTTATGACACTTTTTTGTTGAAGTGTGTGATTATTTATTTCTTCTATTTTAATGATATATTCTTTTAGTGTAATTTTTAGAAGAATGATATATTTTTACATATACTGACTATAGTTTATTTTATTTTTTAAATTGTTTTACTTTTAGTAAGATAATTTATAGTTCACAGAAAAATTTATAATTTATTTTAGATTATAAATTTTAAAATTATTTTTTTAAGTTTGTGTCAATCAATTAAACAATGTCAAATGAATTAAAATTAAAAAAAATATATTTTTATTATTTAATTATATATTATGTTGATATAAACATAGATATATACACGTAAAAAATCAGTATAATTTCAACAATAATAATAATTTATTGATTAGTAGAATTTAAATAGAATAAGATATATATAATTTTTAAAGTAATTTTACGGAATTAAAAGATAATTTTTGATACACGGGTCAAGAAAACTCACTACAAGTTCAACAAATATTCAAAAGTTTGAGCCAATAATCAAAGATTAATTAAATTTTGGATATGTTTCTGTGTTTGATTTATTCTTTTTCATGGATAAAAGACATGAAAGTATTCTATTTTTATTCTTGGAAGGCGGTGAGAATTGAACCTGAAAATATTTTACCTGATTTAATACTCGTTTTGTATATTTTTATTTGTACATTTTAGAATTTTACATATTCTTTAAGAAATAATAATTGATACAAAAATGGTTTTAATCACAATAATGTTTGACATTAAATCTTAACAAAATTTCTTTATTTTTTTTAATATAATGAAAATAAAAATTTATTTTAAAAATAATGACCAACAAAATATAAACAAACCTAACCACCTTGTATAAGAACTAAAATAATTAAAAAGACCATTTATTACTCACTCCATTTCATAAGTAATTTGGCTAGTTTTAACTTTACATAAAGTTTAAAAATCTAGATAAAAAAACTATTCACTAATGATACATTGAAATGAAAGGAAGTATCAATATTAATAAGGGTCTGTAGTGGAATTCTAAATACTCCTTCATTTTTAATCAAAAGTTTTGAATTTGAATCTTCGTATGTATATGAAGTATATTTAGTCAGACTCCATTATAAATATCAAAAGCGGATAAAGAAAAAGTGACAACTACTTACTGCTCTTTAAATAGAACTATTAGTAACACAAGTAGAGCTCATCATGGAAAATGACTTTTCACATTGAATTAGACAATTCAGATATTTCCTCTACTAGTAACTACCCAAAAATGTTAACAGAAACCATCAATTAATATAACACTCCAATAATTTTCAACTGTCTTTACAAGGTACACACTCAAACAGTAAAACTAGGTACTATATCCTATGCCAATTTTTTTTCTTTTTTTCTGTGTGAAGCAAAGAATTCTATTGGTACAAAGAAATAAAAATAAACTAGTACTAATACTACGCATAGAGCTCATGCAAAGTTACTATTATTATAAATCTATAGTTCACATAATATATATCGTCGATATAAATAAAATTTACACCATGAAATCCTTTTTATCTGTCATCACAGATAGTATATATCATTGGGATATGATTTGATTGTGTAAAAAATTATTTATACTGACGATATGTAAGACTTATACTCAAAGACTTAAACTAGTGGAAGATGTTGTTTGGTCTTTGAGGTCATCGGTTGTTGTTATAGGAAAAAGTGGTAGGGTTTTGAGGGGTCGATTGACACAATATGGTAAGTTATTTGGATTAATATTCATCATCACGATCCAATCTTTTCCATAGGGTCTTATCATGCAATTTTCCATATTTTGATCAGCTGGTTTTGAGAGATCCATTGGATATAGATAAGTCATTACTTGAGATGATGCTTCTTTGATTTCACCCTATATAACACAAAAAGAAAAATAAGAATCTTCAAAGTATAATAAGAGAATTTGATATAAATAGTTGTCCATCAAAATAATAACCAGCACGAATATAAGTCTCTTTAAAAATATTTCATAAACGATGAGAGATAAGTGTATTAATCTCATACATATAATATATAACTTAGTTCTAAGGTTTACACGTTAGCTAAAAATGTATATTTACCAAAATTATAATGCTAACATCATATCATACAAAAGAATCTAATCATCTCTTCAAATATATAGTCACCAAAGACATAATTTCTTACACAATCAACAAGGGACAAGTATATCCTCTAACACGTCAATGGTATTAGACATATCACCACAAGAGAACTGTTAATTACATGGAAATTTTTTTGAGAGTACTATCAAAATTTGCAGGAAAATAAGATTTCTGCGAATTTTCTTATTAATCCTCAGAAAAATCCTCATATAATTAACAGTTTTCTTATAGTGGAGACAACTTAAACAAACTTATGAAATAGTTTCCTCATGCAATAATAAAACAAAAAAAAACACTAATTTTTGTGCATACCTCTTGAAGAAGGGCAGTAGTAGATGTCAAAGGACATATTTGGTACTGATCAGTAGTGGGGCAATGAAATAGGGTATTGTTATTGGAGTTGGTAGTAGTAGTAGTTGTACTATGAGCATCAATAGGATATTGAGCTAATATTTGTTGTTGATTCATTTGTGCAAGAAGTTTTTTCTTAAGTTTTTGTCTATCCCTAGCTTTATGGTTTTGAAACCAATAAAACACATTTTTCCCTTCAATTTTACCAAATGAAGACAAATGACAAGTAATACTTTGTATTTGTGTAGCATTTGGATTTCTTAAACCTTTTCTATACATTTCTTCTAAGAACATAAGTTGTTCTGGTGTTGGACTCCATCTTGTTGGCCTTCCCATTTTTTCTCTTTTCAAAAATTGCATATTGTATTTTTTTATTTTTTTATTTTTGATGATTAAACTATATGGATAAGTGAGATTTTAATATCTATTTATAGAAAGAAAAAAGATAGTGAAGATGTGGGGTGTCTAATATTGGGGGTAGTTTGGAATTAATCCTAATATCATTTATTGTGGGACTGAATTTAATAAAAATGTGCATTACACATAAATTTTTAAAAAAAATTTAGGGTCATTAATATTAATTTCACTATCTATATAGAGGATTTTGACACATTTTGACAGTTGTGGATTGTGCATGAATGTTTAAGGGAGGATGAAGAATATATATTTTTGCTTATATAGACTCATTAATTATTCATATTCTACTTGTTAACCAAGGGACCTATTTTTATTATTATTATTACTACATTGGGGTAAGAGAAGTCATTATTTTAAAGGTTTCAGAATTGAATGCTTATCAATAAAATAAAAATTCAGTTATAATTTTAAAGTCATATTTAGATGTGTAGTTTTAATAATAATTTATATATATATTTTTAAGTATGGTGTAATTGTTTGCTATTTTTTTAATTTACTTAATTTTTAGTTTTTGATTTAATTTTTATTGTTGTGATTAACTCCTAGTGATTCTGTTTTTTTTAATCATATATTTTCAAAATTGGAAAATTGATATTTGTTAAATATTCAAAGAAGACTAGAAGTGTTGGTTTTTGATGATTTACAATAAAAAGATAAAAATTGTTCAACAATATATTTAAAAAATTTTCCTAAACACTAAGAATATCTTTTTTCATTTTCTCAAAAAACTCTCAACAATTACACAAAACTTTAACTCAACTACATTTTATTCTTTTAAAAAACTCAAATTTTAATCTATCCTCAAACATTATCCAATAAATTAAAAGGAATTACCTCAAAAAGAAAAAGAAAAAAAAGAACTTCTAACTTTTGTGTGTCCATATTTTGGTGAAAAATACGGACTCATAAATATTTAAATGTTACACTTCTTTAAGAATATACCTACAATTGTACTACTACTTCACAAATCACAACAAATATTATAAAAACTTTCATCTAACAAGAATGTGACTAGTCATTCTAAATATTTAAACAAAGTGAAAAGTTAATTTGTATATTTTATCAAGTACATGTACTATCCAAAAGAAAAATTAATTCACTCTGCAACTCCATTAACTTGTGTCACTACTATATAGGCTCATTCATATATTTTAAATAGGGTTAATTGTGGGTTCAATGAAATTGATTCCCCCCTCTACCTTTATTTCAATTAATTAATTTTGGTAGTTATAATTAAAAGAGTTATGTTTTTTAAGCTAGGTGTCAACATATAGGGTAAGAAATTAAATTATTTACATATTGCATGGGGTAGAGATGGAATGAGAAATTTTAATTTATATGAGTTAAATTTTATTTATTTTTTAACTTATTGGATTCTATATAAATTATTACTATCAATATGTGCTGAATGAAATTTTTTGATATAAACATAAAGTTTTAATCAAAATTACTTATTTTTGCACTCGTATTTTTAAGGCTAGATTTACTCTTGACAGCATATTAATTTATCATATTTGTAAAACTATGAATCTCATACTCCTATGCCAGCATAGATTCAATATATTAAAGTTGTTAATTATTATAATTTATATTATTTTTTTTTACATAATTTTAAATTAAAACAAACTAAAAGAAACAATTAAATTTTCAAAAAAATTAGAAGCAATATGTCGATACCAATAAAACTACAATTAGAATGATCACTACACTCATTCATCACCTAAAAACTAAAATTATATAGGTGAACGTGTACTTATTTTATAGGGGCAAAGAATTTAAAAAAATAAATTAATAGGTGACTGATGATTTAATCATCACACGAGTCTCAAATCATTATTTTATTTTATTTTTCAATTCATATCATTACTGCGACAAGGCTAGGGAGTTGGATGCATTGGATACCATATTAATAAAGCCAACTTCTTTTGAGATTTTTCCTTTTTAATTCGAACGTATATATTAGACGAGAATGGTTCGTATTGAAAATTGTTTTATGTTTATATTCAAATTCGAAATATTTAAAAAAGAGGAACGTTATCTATCTCATCATAATCGTTAATGATAAATAAGCCAACAACTATTTTCTATTTTTTAAAATATTCAAGCAGAAGATTCAGTTAATATAGTTATTTTTGTTTTAGATAATATGACAAGTAAAATAAGTTTATTTTAATATTCTAAAGTATTTATAAAAAAATTAATCAAACACAAATATTTATTTTATATAGTAAAAAATACTTCTCGAATGAGTGGATTAAATATGATTACTTTTTTAAAAAGTTATTTTGATAAAAGTATTCGGTAAAGGGAATAATTTTTAAGTTAACAGTAATACCTCAATTGATTAGTTATCTAAATTTTTATTTCATTTGGTGAAACTTTAAATCTGATAATTTCCTCCCCTATTTATCCAAACCTTACCGCAATTTTTTTAAAGAAAAATTAAAAAAAATGCAAGCTATTGTTCTTTCAGATTATTAATTCCATGAATTATGTATTATCATTTGTAGTTGAAATCTATTCTTTGAATATGTACCAAATAAATTCACTCTTATTCAATAGTTCACAAGTCCTAAAAAGGATATAAATTATACTAAAATCCAAAAATATGTTAATGCGCAATTGATAATTACAACAAAAGTTTTATGAGATGGAGGAAATAAGGATCACGTACTTGCTCAACTCCAAAAATTATTTATTTAAAATCCTTAATTTCCTCCGACTTTTCTCTCCTAATTTATATGATATAATTCAAAATCTCCCAATTTATATAATATAATTTAAAATTTAAATTGGTAAACAAAAGATAAATTACCACATTTTATTCATATGCTTTTTAAATATATATATATATATATATATATATATATATATATTATATATATATATATATATATTATTTATATATATATATATATATATATAT